TGGAACAAGAAAACTGTCACAAAGGTTCTGTTAAGGACCAAAACATAGTCTTGCAAGTCTTTGTGACAGAAGTGCTAACCGAAACTATCAGAGTGAATCGACTCAGCAACTAAAACAATGCAGAGAGAGAGAGAGAGAGAGAGAGAGAGGAGACGAGAGAAAGAAATGAAGGGACAGCATCTTGGCGCATACCTATAGTTAAGGGGGTTGGGGAAGGCAAGGAGACAGCACAGAGAGCTAGAAGAAATTCAGAAGATCGCTGTAGCAACACTGAAGTCAAGGGAATCGTTCTCCGGTTTGTGTCCGTGAGTGGGTGTCTGTGATAACTGCTTTGTAACAGTACAGATTATAAATAAAAGTCTGTGGGCAGCAACAGAAAAACAACACATACATTTTCAGTGCGACTGGGTCTGTCTGGCCCTGCCCACCAGTGGTTTGGGGATCTACTTCGTTCCGACTAGAGAGCACCCACTCGAAATTTCCTCTGGATGGCAACCCAGCACAACACGTCTTCCACCTCTTCACACTGACTCCTCCTCGCCTCCTCTCTCCTCCAAACATAGGCTGGTTGATTACACCCTCTTTGTGTCAAAACAGCACACTTGAAATCATTTTATGGCACCCACATTCTTCCATTTTAATCTTTAAGATTTTATAAGGTGAAATGGTCTTTGCGATTGTTATCCTGTATTAATTTTCTTTTTCTTATCAACACCTCAAAATTCCTCTCTTCTAGTTTGTTTTTGCTCTGTTAGTGAAACCAGCGTTTCCTAATTGGTGAACTACAGACTTCTTCAGAGGTAAGGTGGGGGATGTTATTGCACCTCACTGCATCTCTCTGGTAATATGTTCCTTGTCTATCCCTTAGGCTTACCACAGACCAGTAGGAATTGCTTAGGTGCACAGTGGCATTTAGCACTAGAGACCACTAACTTTTGACCTCGAAGAGCACGTAAGATACTAAATTCATTAAAAATTTAGTAACCACACTACAAATGTTCTGTATGACCACTATTTTTACCTTTCTATAAATCAAATTTATTAAAGATGACCTTTCTCAGGTCAATGACTCATTTTATTTGTTTAGAAATTGTGAGATATACATTCCTATGGAAAAGTGAATAAAACATATATGTACAGTTTATTTCAAGAATAATTATAAAGCAAACACTCAGGTCCGTATATAAAACAGGAGCCCCCCATCCCATGTGCCCCTCCCTGATCATGTCTCCTTTCTCACCCTGGAGAGGAACATTTGTGATAACCATGTCTTAGCTTTTCTTTATAGTTTTACTACTTATGACTGTATTTTAAACAATATAGTAGAGTTCTGCCCGTTTTTGAACTTTATGTAAGTGGAAACATTCTGTATTCCTTGGTTGTCTCAGTATGGCAATTCACCATGTTATTGTAGATAATCGTTTGTTTCTCTTTGTTGCTCTATTGCATTTCACAGTACGATTACCATAATTTATCCATTCTATTGTTGATACAAGTTTGGGTTTTATAATGGTTTCAGCAAAAATGCACATGTACAGGAAATTCTGTAGAGTTGCTGAGTCACAGTGAATGTGTATCTTCAATCTTACTAGATAATGCCACACTGTTTTCCCTGATTGTATCAATTTATGCTACCATAGTGTATGAGGATATTCGTTGCTTCTTCCTTAAAACTTGTTTCTGTCAGACTTTAAATTTTTTTTTGATCTGGTGTGTGTCTAATAGTACTGCATTGTTATCTTCATGTTCCTTTCTATAGTTACTAATGAGAATGTTGGTCCTTTCATATATTAGTCATTTGCATTTGGTGCTGTGCCTATTTAAGCTTTTTGCCCATTTTCAAAATGGGCAAGTCTATTTCTTATTGATTTGTGTTATTTGCATATTCTGGGTACTAATTCTTTTTCACTGGCTTCATGGCATTGTTTGGTAAACAAAAGTTCATTACTTTTATGTAGCCCAATATTTTTATGTATGTAATACATCTTTTTTTTTTTTAGACAGAGTCTCACCCTGCCACCCAGGCTGGAGTGCAATGGCATGATCTCGGCTCACTGCAACCTATGCCTCCTGAGTTCAAGCAATTCTCCTGCATCAGCCTCCTGAGTAGCTGGGATTACAGGCACACACCACCATGTCTGGCTAATTTTTTATGTCTTTGTTAGAGATGGGGTTTCACCATGTTGGCCAGGCTGGTCTCGAACCCCTGACCTCATGATCTGCCTGCCTCAGCCTCCCATAGTGCTGGGACTACAGGCATGAGCCACTGCGCCCGGCCACATCATTTGATAATTACTGAGCTTTTCCTTTATGGCTAAAAATTCCTCTTAACCTATGTCACAAAGATTTTTTCTCATATAGGTCCTCATAACTTATCTGAAATCCCTGGAGGCAGATGTTTGAAATATAGACTATTTTAAATATTAGAAGGCTAGTTTGAAACATACAACATATATTGTATAATATTCTCAGCAAGAACTGGGACAGTACCCATAATGAAATACATTAATATTTCTACAGAAAAACATATGCCGTCACCTAAGTGGTAACGTTAATAACAACTATAAAGAGTCTCATGTTACTTTAAGACATATTTTTCATCAAATGAGTGCCAAAGTGTTTGGTGTTTCAGAGGTTTGGGGATTTTACAATTAGTACAAAAGTTATGGTAGCCTTATTCAGTAAGAATGGAATTATTTCAAAGCTTTTAGGAACTTACTGGTGGAGCCATGTACCTAGGATTTGTGTGTATGAAGATTCTTCACTCTCATTCAAATTACTTAATGGTTTCTCTACTTTTGAGTCAGTTGTTTTTCTTGAAATCTGTACAGTCATCTAAATCTTATTTGCACTAAATTGTTTACAAGATTATCTAACTTTTTTGATGTCTATAGTATTTCTAGTTTCCATTCTTGATAAAGATTGTTGACATCCCTCCTTTTATAGCTATTAGATGTTTGCCTATTTTAATTAGTTTTTTTCCAAATAAATCAGCTTTTGGTTTCTTTCAACCTATTCTATGCTGTGGTGTGCTGGTGAATTAGCTCCAAACATAAAACAAAATCCTGGCTTGTTTGTTGATTTCCATAGTGTAAACAGTCCCATCATAGGTGACTTCAAGCTACTTATTTGATGTTATTGATCATGGAGTTGCCAAGAGGTGTGCACAATTGGCTCTCCCATGCCAGTACAGGCTGGCTCTGGTACACCACTGCTTTTATTTTCCATTTCATTAATTTCTGCTCTTAACGTTATTTCTGTCCTTCTATTTTCTGTCTTATTTTGCTGTCCTTTTACTAACGTCTTGAAAAGGGATTTTCAGCTCAAGACTTTTCGGATTCTTCTAATATACTTAATTATGGCTATAAATGTCCCTCTAAGTGCTGCTTTAGTTTCATCCCACAGGTGTTGCTATTGTATCTTATGGTTCAGTTCAAAGTATTTTCTCAATACCATCGACTCTGTCTCTGTGTTATTCGACTTTTTACAGTTCTTTATTGATTTCTATCTTAAATGCACTGTAGTAAAAAATGAAAATTATTTCAATTTTCAAAATTTGTTGTTTTATAACTAAGTATGTGGTTGACTGTGGTGATGTGTTGTGTCTGCTTTCAAAAAACTGTACATTCTGATTTTGCTCGTGTTGTTCTGTATATATTAATTGCGTCGTTTGTACATCATGTTATTCACGTTTCCTATATTCTTAATTTTTCTCTTGCTAGTCTTAACAATTAGTGAGAAAGGCCTGTTAAAATTACCCAGTATGACCAGGCATTTTTTTTTTTTTTTTGTAATTCTGTCGCTTCACTTTGTTTCATATGTATTTTTCATTAGGTACATATAAATTTTAAATTTAAAACACATTTCCTTTTTAGACTCAGAAGTCATCTAAGACTCTTTCCTTTCATTCCTTTTATATTCCATCAGTCATATTTAAAAGACATCTATATGTAAACCGACGTCAATAGACATGATGTAAAAGAAGGGGGTGGCTCTGGTAAAGCTAACTCCGCTATTAGAGTGCATTAACTATGGGGGAAATACTTTCTATATTGCAGAACACATATTTGGTGGTACTTAGCATCACATCGCCACCCTGAAGTCTGCATATATTGAATTTGGAATGGCTCAAACTGCACTGAGTGCAAAATCGTAAATTGCTTATCTTATATAAATGTTTTAGAACTAGATGGTGGAACAGATGGAATCTATTAAGAGAACGGGGTGCCAGATGACTGACTATAAACATGCTTTTTAATAAAGATTCTGCTGAGATATTAACGCATATTTTCTAAAATTTTCATTTTTTCTTGTTCATTTTGTTTCTAAGATATTAACTCACGTATTAAAAATAACAACATCTCAAAACATTTCAGGCAACTCTCTTCTTCCCTTTTAAAAATACCTTGCTGTTTCGGGGGTTAAAAAAAGCCACAAGGGAGATAACAATACAAATATTTATTTTCCCAACTCCCCCGCCATGGGTTCTGGGACGTCACCGCCTCTTTCTGAGGCCCGTTTCATCCTTTTCTTTTAATCCAAGAAGCGATGGTGTTGTGCGCCTGTCATCCCAGCTACCTGGGAGGCAGGCTGAGGTGGGAGGATCTTTTGGGTCCAGGATTTTGAGGCTGCAGTAAACCGTGTTCTCACCACTGCACTCAAGACTGGGCGGAAGAGCGAGACCCTGTATCAAAAACAAAACAAAACGAGAACGTATTGCGGTTCTGCAACACTCTGTCCAGTTCTCGCACTCTCAGGTGCAAACTTCCACACAAACCCCTCGGCTCGCCTTGTCCCGCGGGGCTAGCCCATTAAAGCCTTCCGGGACACACTGCGCGACGATATATAAGTATATACCCTTCTTGCCCTTGAAGGCCGGAAGTCAGTCCTACAGATAAAAGCGAAACAGGAAGTCCCGCCCCTCTATGGAAAGTAAATGGTAGCCCGGAAGGGTCAAAAGAGTCCGCGATTTCTCCGAGTGAATTGCTTTCTGCGGTTGGGGAGATCTACTCTTCTAGAGCTCGAGCCAGCGGGGCGACCCTGCAGTGGCAGGACTCGGCACCGCGCCTTCCACCGCCGGTTGGTGGCCTGCGTGACCCTTTCCTCTCGTCGACATCGGAAGGAAGCCAGACGTGGGCGGGCAGAGAGGTCGGCTCGCTGAGGGGTCCGGGTGAGACGCGCATGGAGTGTGGGCCCGGGAGATCCCTTGCTGTCCCCGAGCCGCGGGTTCCTCTTGTGCAAAACGGGGTGGCACTCCAGTCGCCTGCTTGGTGATTGTGGCCCCTGCACACCTGTTTCTACAGCGCTTAGGTTCGAACAGTAACCCTGTAAACTAGGCACTGCTGTTCCCGCTTTACTGGTGGGAAACGGCCTCGGAGAGAATAAATGAACTGCCCTAAGCGACTGGGACAGAGCCACAGTTCTCAGCCAGGCTTTCGTAGCCCACGCTGCCGCCCCAGCAGGGATCAAATCACACAGTGTGAGATAAGCGTCAAGAGCGAGTGGTCTTATGCTGCCACCGAGAACTGATTGGGTTCAGTTGCATCATCAAAATCCTGAAGCATGGTTTTTTTGTTTTTTGTTTTAGTTTTAAAGGAAGAGGAGATTGACGGTTTTCCTCTTTCCTTACCTTCTCTTCAGATTACAAAGTTCGTTGTTAATCTCAAATGTTATTTTGGCCAACAGCTTCATCCCAGTAGGAATGGCAGCGCCATCTATGAAGGAAAGACAGGTCTGCTGGGGGGCCCGGGATGAGTACTGGAAGTGTTTAGATGAGAACTTAGAGGATGCTTCTCAATGCAAGAAGTTAAGAAGCTCTTTCGAATCAAGTTGTCCCCAACAGTGGGTAAGTCACAGATGTGTTTATCTTCCCTGTTAAGATACATCGAGCTTATACTGTGAGTGGTAGGCTGACATGAAGCACTCTCTGAGGCATGTCAATTAACAGTGTCTTTGAGGCACAGAGAAAACCTTGCCTGGTAATCTAGCCTTATTTGATGCATGTACATCAGGTAGATGTTTGGAGAATGTCAGCTGACACATTAAAGAGCACTGAAAAACACAACAAACATATGAACAATAACCAAAAAATTCCAGTTCATTTCACGGGTGGACTTTTCCAGGATCTTCTGAAGGGGTAGTATTTAATCTTGGACAGGAGTTGGCAAAATTAATTGGCCTAGAGCTATTATCAGAAATAAAACATTCCCAGTTGCTCACCCAAAATCCTTTAAGTCATCATATACCCAAAATACAAAGAAAGGAGTTTGGTAAGTAGAAGAAAAAAAAGGTTCTTATGGTAGATTCTGTCTCCCTGACAGGCATTCAAGCGCTGTATTCCCTGCCGTTAGTATAAGGGGGGATTGGAAAGGGGACTATTACTGAGGTTAGTAAGTGGCCGTGTGTGCTAAGTGCTTGACATTTTCATCTTCACCAATACCTGTTAAGATAGGTGCTGTTGGCTGGGCGTGGTGGCTCACGCCGGCAATCCCAGCACTTTGGGAGGCCGAGGCGGGCAGATCACGAGGTCAGGAGTTCAAGACCAGCCTGGCCAACATAGTGAAACCCCATCTCTACTAAAAATACAAAGACAAAAAAAATAGCTGGGCATGGTGGTATGTGCCTCTATTCCCAGCTACTCAGGAGTCTGAGGCAGGAGAATTGCTTGAACCGGGACGCGGGAGGTGGAGGTTGCAGTGAGCCAAGATCACACCACCGCATTCCAGCGTGAGCCACAGAGCAAGACGTTGTTATTCTCTATCTCCAGAGGAGGCAACTGAAGCTTAGAGCATTGAAGTGACTCGCTTGTTATTACTCAGTGAATGGTAGAACTGTAATTTTAAGGCAGTCCTAACTGGCTGATGTGGGATTTGAACTTGCATTTGTCTGTGCCTTTTCACTATCTTATGCCGCTCCAAAATATACCGTGTAGTTGGAAAACAGATAATTTTAGAGTTGGAGTGGTTTTAGGGGTTTTACCCTCTCATACCTCAAACCTTTAAGAGGCTTTGAAGGAGGCCACAAGAAGGCTGTGATGCAGGGAGGCGTCGTATTGGTGGCTGAGCTGGGGATGAACACAGTGAACAGAAATTACTTTATTTTTCTTTCTTTAATTTTCAGAGACAGGTTCTCAATCTGTCACCCTGGCTTGAGTGCAGTGGTGTGATCATAGCTCACTGCAGCCTTGACCTCCTGGCCTCAAGCAATCCTCCCGCCTAAGCCTCCTGAGAAGCTGGCACTATAGGCATCTGCCACCATGCCTGGCTGATTTTTTTTTTTTTTTTTTTTTGAGACGGAGTCTCGCTCCGTTGCCCAGGCTGGAGTGCAGTGGCGTGATCTCGGCTCACTGCAAGCTCCGCCTCCCGGGTTCCCGCCATTCTCCTGCCTCAGCCTCCTGAGTAGCTGGGACTACAGGCGCCCGCCACCACGCCCGGCTAACTTTTTGTATTTTTAGTAGAGATGGGGTTTCACCATGGTCTCAATCTCCTGACCTCGTGATCCGCCCGCCTGGGCCTCCCAAAGTGCTGGGATTACAGGCATGAGCCACCGCGCTTGGCCACCTGGCTAATTTTTAAAAATATTTTGTGAAGACAGGATCTTAGTATGTTGCCCAGGCTGGTCTCAAACTCCTGGGCCCAAGTGATCTTCCCACCTTGACCTCCCAAAGCACTGGGATTAACAGGTGTTGAGTCACCACATCTGGCCAGCCGTTGCTTTAGATGAACTCTTCATGTGTAAAACCAGCCTGATACAGCCTATCGCATGGGATTATTATGAAGACAAAATACATAACTTGACATGTAAACCGAAAACTGATCAGTGTGGGACTGTGTGATTGAATTAGATAATGATTCCAGCAGAAAATGTTGTACCTCTGTAGTTTTCCCATTAGACAGATGCACTGAGAGCAACTCCAGGTTTAAGCTGGAGTTCCCCTTCGATCGCACTTTTATCCTCTCTCTCCTCCTGAAACCCACTGCTTTTTCTCCAGCCTGATGGCTCCCACTCCCACGCTTCCAGGGCGGCTTCCAGTCTGTGTGTCAGAAAGGGTTTTTACAGCCAGCCGTTTTTGGTTCTTGATGGTACATCTCTCCCACTCAAGCAGACTGGGTGCCATCCCCTGAGGCCCCAACCTCTCTCTGGGTCACTGCATCATGGTCACTGCTAACATAAATTGAGTACATCCTCTCTACAGTCTACACACTTGAAATGTGTCATCTATCTTCTTTATCCTTCATGGAACTCTCTTAGCAGTTTTATAGGTAAGGGCACATTGACATGAAGTCACTTGTAGTTACAGAGCCTGCATTTGAACTCAGTAGTCTGATTCCAGACCCCACATACTTCTCCCTGTGTCTACCGTGCAAGAACAGGATCTGTGAAAATAGCTTGCACAAGTCTCATGTTGTTCTAGAAACTGAGTTATAATTCAAGTCTACTTAAATACAAAAGCCCTGTCTCCTTGGGTCCCTTTACAGTACTCTCACCCAGTTTCTTCATGTCTAGCAGTCACCACTCTTTGGAATGCCTTCCTGTGAGTGTGTTAAATGCCCGTGTTCATTAGAGCTCCTTTCTCTGCTACTCACTTGTCCAAGGCAATCCTGTTTACAGCCATGGCTTGAAGTCCCAGCTTATGTGTTGATGCCTATGTTAGCCCAGGCTGTCATAACCAAATACCTTAAAGAAATTTATTTCTCACAGTTTTGGAGGCTTGAGGTCTGAGATCAGGATGCCAGCATGGTCAGTTTCTAATGAGGGCCCTCCTCCTGGCTTGTAGACAGCCACCTTCTTGCTGTGTTCTCACCCAGCAGAGAGAGAGAGAAAGAGGTCCAGTCTCTTCCTCTTTTTTTTTTTTTTTTAAGACAGAGTCTCACTGTGTCGCCCAGGCTGGAGTACAGTGGCGAGATCTCAGCTCACTGCAACCTCTGCCACCCGGGTTCAAGCAATTCTCCTGCCTCAGCCTCCTGAGTAGCTGGGATTATAGGCGTCTGCCACCACACCCAGTTAATTTTTGTAGTTTTAGTAGAGGTGGGGTTTCACCATCTTGGCCAGGCTGGTCTTGAACTCCTGACCTCTTACCCGCCTCGGCCTCGAAAAGTGCTGGGATTACAGGCGTGAGCCACTGCACCTGGCTCTTCCTCTTCTTATAAGGACGTTAATCCCATCAGGTTAGCAGGGCTCATCCTCATGACCTCATCTAAACCTAATCACCTCCTATAGGCCCCACCTTCAAATGCCATCACATTGAGGTTAAGGCTTCAACATGGGAATTTGGGAGGTGCATGAGCCTTCAGGCCATACAGTGCCCAAAGGTGCGTCTCCAGCCTGGCCCTTTCTCCAGCTCCAGAACTGCCTTTCCAGCCACCCGTTAGCTTCCAGTTGGAGATGCATGAGGACCAACCTTGACGTCTGCATATACAAGAGTGAGCTCTTCCGCATCATGCACCCAGTAGGCCTCCTCCCATGCTTCCAGCTTCAGTGAAAGACACCAGCATCAACTTAGGACCTGGGCCCTGGATGTCAACCTTGACTGAATTATTGGAGTGTTCTCGGGAGGGAGACTAGATAAGTCAGGGCTGTGAGCTCAGCTGCTGTCCAGCTTCAGTCTGATCCTTCTGGAAACTCTGGAGTGTGAATTGCACCATAATTAATGACTTTTGTGCCTGCCAGTCATTGGCGTTGGCTGAGGGGCAGGTCTCTGGAGAAGGGGGCAGCCATCTGGTGTTAGCAGCCACTGCCCAGCGCAGCAGGGAGTAGGTACATGGGTCTGCAGAAGGAATCTGGACAGAGACCCAGTAGTGGCCATAATCCCACCTGTCCAGTTGCAGGCAGCATGAAGCCACCACAGCACCCCCACATGGGGTCTGTACCTATAAAACTCACCCGTAGAACTGCAGAGCTGAGTGCAAGCTCTTCACAGCTAGTCTTGCTGCCAGCGGGTAAAAGAGAGGAATGACTGTGTTCATCATCAGTTCAGGTATTTGTCTTGTCCAGGGAAGGAGTATTACAGTTAATGGATCTAGAGTGGAGACTCAGTGTTCCCCCTCTGACAAGAAAAGTAACACATTCACATGTTTTATAAGAAGAGTATTTATTAAAGAAAAGTTCAAGAACACATGGCCTGCCCATTTTAACGAAATGATATAGAAAAAAATCTCCCAAATATAGATGATGGCCCTCCTTCAGCTCTACTGTCATGTTTTTTGGTCCATATCCTGTTCATTTAGTCATTCCACAAATATATTGAGCACCTTCTATGTGCCATAGGAAAATACAGCAAGGAAAAATAGACAAAGTGCTCAGCCCTCTTGTAGCATACATTCTAGTATGGGGAGAGAGACAAGTAGTAGAATTAAAAGGATGTTATATGGTGATAAGTGATAGGATGAAAAATCAAACAAGGGTACAGGTTTAAGTAGGATGGTCAGGAAAGGTTTTATTTATACAGAAACTATTTTCACAAAGTTAGGAAAATGTCAGGGAACAGATAGGCAGATACCTGGTGAAGAGGATTCCAGGCAGAGAGAATGAAACAGCCAAAAACCTGCACTGATGGGCCAGCCGCAGAGGCTCATGCCTGTAATCCCAGCACTTTGGGAGACTGAGGCGGGCAGATCACCTGAGGTCAGGATTTGAGACCAGCCTGGCTAACATGGCAAAACCCAATGTCTACTAAAAATACAAAAATTAGCTGGGTGTGATGGTGGGCACCTGTAATCCCAGCTATTTGGGAGGCTGAGGCAGGAGAATTGCTTGAACCCAGGAGGTGGAGATTGCAGTAAGCTGAGATCATGCCACTGCACTCCAGCCTGGGCAGCACAGCAAGACTCTGTTTTTTTTTTTTTAAACAAACAAACAAAAAAATGTGTTTAAGGGACAGGAAGAATAGCAAAAGTTAGAGCCAAGAGATGGGAGGCCAGGGAGGTACTTTTTAATTTTTTTTTTTTTTTTTTTTGAGACAGGTCTCACTCTGTTGCCCAGGCTGGAGTGCAGTGGTGTGATCTTTGTCATGTTGCCCAGGCTGGTCTTGAACTCTTGGACTCGAGCGATCTGCCCATCTCAGCCTCCCAAAGTGCTGGGATTATAGATGTGAGCCACTGTGCCCGGCCATGGTTGGTGCTTTTACTCTTAGTAATACAGAAAGCCATTGGAGAGCTTTGGGTTTAAGAGTAAGGAGGGAAATGAGGCCATGAGAGGGATGACAATCAGTGGAAAGGCGGTAGGACTGATGGGCTGTTGGCATTAAATCCAAGAGGGAATGTTCACAGGTAGGGGTTGGAGAATGGGATTCTCACAATTGGAATTATGGAAGGGTTGTATTTGTTATGAGGACAAGATACAAGCTTTGATCCTGGGAGTAAGGTAGGTTGGAGGATGAGATCATTGAAGAGGTCAAGGAACTGAGAGGCCATGGTATTGAAAAGATCAGTATGCGGACATTGAAATTACCCACGAGTTGTGACCTGAGTATTGTTGGAGAAAATGATGGTGTATTAGTCCGTTTTCATACTGCTATAAAGAACTGCCTGACACTGGGTAATTTATAAAGGAAAGAGGTTTAATTGACTCACAGTTCAGCGTAGCTGGGGAGGCCTCAGGAAACTTAGAATCATGGCAGAAGATGAAGGGGAAGCAAGGCACCTTCACAAGGCGGCAGGAAGAAGTGCCAAACAAAGGGGGAAGAGCCACTTGTAAAACCACCTGATCTTATGAGAACTCACTCACTTTCACGAGAACAGCATGGGAGAAACTACCCGGTGATTCAACCTTCACCTGGTCTCTCCCTTGACACTTGGCGATTATGGGGATTACAATTCAAGATGAGATTTGGGTGGGGACACAAAGCCTAATATCAGATGGTGACCTGCGAAGTTGTAGACGACTGTAACGAAGAAGGGAAGCAGGTAATATAGTAAATTATTCCCATTGACTTCTGCAGCATTTGACAGTGATAGCCCGTTTCCCATTTACACCCATATTCTTCTGCAACACTGTTCTTTCTTAGTGCATAACTGAGTTATTTCTCAGCCTGCCCTTCACTATCGGTTCTTCGCTCGCTGTTCCCCTGTGCTCTCTTTTCAAGTATTACCTTGTCAAAGTCCTACCCAACTGCCATAGAATAAAAGCTGAAAAGTTTTCCCAGAGATATGTGTGTGTAAGGGTGGGGAGGCACACGGGAGGGCAAGAAAATGGAAATATCTTTTGAGTGCATTCTGAATGAGACGCTTTGTTTTTGTTGCCTTTAATTTTCATTCAGTCTTGCGAGGTACTGTTGGATCTGTTTTATACAATAGGAACTAAGGCTCAGAAAGGTAAAATAATGTCTTAGACCAGCCAACCAGTAAAGTAGTAGAGAGAGGATTTCAATGTCTATGATTTCAAAATTTGGATCTTTTACTTAGCTGATGTTACAGCCACGAAATAAAGATAAAAATAGTACCACCAAATTGGGATTTAGAATGAATAATTCTATCCCAAAACACCAAAAATACATGCTTATTACAAAATAAATATGCCATACAACTGATATGCTAGCTGTTACAAAAACAAATTAGTTCTCTCTAGTACTCACATGTCTATTTTATAGCACTCATCAGTGTGACTTGTATAATGGTCCTATTGAAAGTCTTCTGGGATTACAGGCGTGAGCCACCACTCCCAAGGCAGGTGATCACCTGAGGTCAGGTGTTCGAGACCAGCCTGGCCAACATGGCAAAACCCTGTCTCTACTGAAAATGCAAAAATTAGCCTCGCATGGTAGTGCGTGCCTGTAGTCCCAGCTACTTGGGAGGCTGAGGCAGGAGAATCACTGGAACCCGGTAGGCAGAGGTTGCAGTGAGTCGAGATCACACCACTGCACTCCAGCTTGGGTGACAGAGTAAGACTCTGTCTCAAAAAAAAAAAAAAGTCTCCTATTCCTAAATTAGGAGCAGGGATCAGGCCTATCATTCTAGCATCATCTAACAAAGTTCCACAAACAGAGCAACCAAATATCCAAGATCTGCGATCTTAATATCAGATTCACATATTGTCTTGTTTTCTATAAAAGTTTGAAATGTCTCAGAGATCCCAGTATTTTGGCATTCACACTACTGTCCTGGGTCTTATTCAGTGGTTTAGAGACCACTTGCTTATGTGTACACAGTATTTCTCAATGAATCCTTCTTGATTCATTAGCCTTTTAGAGAAAGGACCATGTGTTGAAGGTCTTAGGCTGTTTGAAAGAGAAGGTGAGGGCTAGGGAGGAGAGCTTTCCAGGCAGAATGTGATACTATGGGAAGGCATGGAATCAAGATGCACAGGAAATGAGCATGGGGTAGTTCTGTAGGACAAACAGTTCAGTGACTGCTGGTAAATTCAGAGAGGATGGACATGTGGCCTGGGATGAAGCCATCAGTGGCCTTGTTTGTCTTACAAACCTTAAAGGCAATATGAATACCTTGAAAGATCTTCAAACAAGCAAGTGACCTGATCAAATTTGGGTTTCAGAAAGATTATACTCTGGCAGCCTGGGACAGGTGGATTAAGGATGGTTGAGCCTGGAAATAGAGAAGCCAGTGAAAGAGCTGTTACAACAACCCAAGTGAGAAATGATGAGGGTTTGCGCTGGGGCAGTGAAGAGGAGAAAAGAGATCTAAGTGTCCAGGTGGATGTGATGTGTTCATTGAAATAGGTATTAGAGGAGAAACATGCTTGGAGAGGAGCAAAGTTCTGGACAAGTTGGGACTGCAGTGTCAGTACAGCCTCTAAAGGGCGTTGTCTTAGGCAGTTGGAGATGTGACAGGAGATGCAAACATCTATTATTTTGTCACAAAAATGTTAAGGGCATTGTCCACTTCTTCCTTTGGTATCCTTTACATAACATCCATCCTAGCCCAATCAGCCGGAGACCACCAGGGATGAATCTGTAGTCTGATTTGTGAATGCTTATAACCAGGAAGACCACACACCAGAGGAACTGTGGGCATCTCACCAACAAAGAAAAAGAGAGTGGTTAGAAGTTTAGGGGAAGAATGGAGTTTAGGTAAAATTTAAATGAAATGGTGTTTTGACAACCTCAGTACAAAGCATAGGTGTCATCATCAGCTCTGGATTGAAAAATGGACCAGGGTTTTCTTCTTTGAAGTTAAAAGATTGAGCGTCATGTTCATGTTGAGAAATGTTATTTGACATTCTGAAGCTGAGTTGGAGATCGAGGTTGCTTCTGTGTCAGCGTGCCTTAGATCTTCTAGACAAAAGTGGGATGTTTCCTTCTTACAGATAAGACTTCAAACAGCAAATTTCTGGTAGCTGATGATTTTAGAGAACAAGATTTCTCAGTGAATAAGAAAGCAGTAGTCACTCAAATAACAGATCTATTAGCACACTCCGTGGCTGTGGTACGCCCTCAGGGACATGTTTCCTTTCAGCTGACTTTGTGTGTCTGTTATCCCAGCTTGATTGATACAGGGCAGGGCAGATTTTTACATTTTTAGTCCAAGCTAATTTTTATTTACAAGCACCACTGAAATCTTTAAGAATTAAATCCTAAGAAAGGCTTTTAACAAAAGAACTAGTGTTTTCTAGTCTGACAATGAAGATGAATTTAGAGTTGGTAAGAAAAATGGTCCAGGCTCAGCATGGTGGCTCACGCCTATAAATCCCAGCACTTTGGGAGGCCTAGGCAGTTGGATCACTTGAGGTCAGGAGTTTGAGACCAGCCTGGCCAACATGGCAAAACCCCATCGCTACTAAAAATACAAAAAAATTAGCCGGGCATGGTAGCAGGTGCCTGTAATTGCAGCTACTGGGGAGGCTGAGGCCAGAGAATAGCTTGAACCTGGGAGGCGGAGGTTGCAGTGAGCTGAGATTACGCCACTGTACTCCAGCCTGGGTGACAGAGCAAGACTCTCTGTCTCAAAAAAAAAAAAAAAGAAGAAAGAAAAAATGGTCCAATGTGTTCACATGTGAAGCCTTCTGACCTACCTGAGAGCTCTCTGTGGACTCTGAACTTGCCTGCAAGCCTGACCTGTGTGCACATGGGTCCATTTCTTGAGAAGGTTCCTGAGTTATTCAAATTCTCAACATGGTCTAAAACCCAAAAAGGATTAGAAGTCACTGGTCTACACTCTCCTCAGAGACATATTCATCAAATGCCTCAATTGAAAATGATTCTAGAATATAAATCACTTAAATTTATGTTGAATAATGTGTTACATTTAAATCTGTGCTTTTGCTTATCTAAGTTGCATAACTTGCCCTTATTTCAAATCCTTTTTTTTTTTCAACAGATAAAATATTTCGATAAAAGAAGAGACTACTTAAAATTCAAAGAAAAATTTGAAGCAGGACAATTTGAGCCTTCAACTGCAAAATCCTAGGCTATTCATAAAGATTGAAAGTATTCTTTCTGGACATTAAAAAAAGCTCCACTGACTATGGGACAGTAGTAGTTTAAATGATAGTGAACATCAATTCTTGTTCCCTGTATCCGACACTTGATAATTAAGATGATCAAGAACCAGATCTGTGAAGAATTGAAATAAAATGGTATTTAGTAAGAAATCTCTATTTTAAGAAAAAAAGTAAAACCTGTTATAAACACATGTACTTTTTTCTTTTTTTTTAATTAGAGGATGGATAGTAGGCAGATAAAATTTATAATATACATAGAAGTGAAATAAATGGGAGTTCGCATTTTAATACAGGCAAGAGCTATTACAACAGCCCAAGTGAGAAACGATGAGGGTTGTGGAAGGTTTATAAGGAAGAAGGATGAACTTAAAATATACAAGTAAAATAATAAAAGCCATCTATACAAAAGCCCATAGCTAGTATCACACTTAATGTTGGGACAGTAACTGGATGTCTAGCTAGTCCAGTGAGACAAAAAAGAAAAAGCATACACACTGGGAAGGAAGAACTAAAACTAGCTCTACTCACATATACTACTGTCTTACAGAATGTACCAATGGATGCACAAAAAGCTCCTAGAACTACAAGACAATCATAGAAACGTTGCAGGAAACAAGGTCAATATACACAAGGAAAAAAGGGATCCGGCCACTGCACTCCACCCTGGGCGACACAGCGAGACTCCATCTCAAAAAAAAAAAAAAAAATTGGAATTTTAAACTAATATCATTTGTGAATAGCACCAAAAAAAATTAAAGGAATACTTAGGTATAAATATAATATATGGAGGCCTGTATGCTGAGAACTAGAAAACACTTGGAAGGAGACTACATCAGATTAAATAGGTATACAGTTGGCCCTCTGCGGGTTCTGCATCCATGGATTCAACCCCGAACAAAAAATATTCAGGAAAAGGAAGAACAAAAGAGTAAAAATAATAAAAATTTAAAAATCGAGTATAACACCTATTTACATAGCATTTACATTGTATTAGGTATTATAAGTAATGGAGATGATTTAAAGTACAGGCATACCTCTAAGATATTGCAGGTTTGGTTACAGACCACTGCATTAAAGTGAGTATCACAATAGAGTGGGTTACACAAATGTTTTGGTTTTCCAGTACACATAAAAGTTATGTTTATACTGTTGTCTAGTAAATGTGCAATAGCATTGTCTACTTCATGTATATACCTTAATTTTAAAATACTTTATTACTAAAAAATGCTAAAGATTCTCTGAGCCTTCAGCGAGCTGTCATCCTTTTGCTGGTAGAGGGTCTTGCCTCAATGTTGATGGCTGCGGACTGATCAGGGTAGGGGTGTGGTTGCTGAAGTTTGGGGTGGCTGTGGCAATTTCTTAACAATTAAGTTTGCTGTATTGATTGACTCTTCATTTCACAAAAGATTTCTCTGTAGCGTGCAATACTGTTTGATAGTATTTTACCTGTAGTAGAACTACTTCCAAAATTGGAGTCAATTCTCTTAAACCCTGCTGCTGCTTTATCACCTGAGCGTATGCCATATTCTAAATGCTTGGTTATTTCAACAGTATTCACAGCATCTTCACCAGGAATAGGTTCCATCTCAAGAAATCATTTTCTTTGCTCATATCCATAAGAAGCAACTTCTCATCCACTCAAGATAATGAGATTGCAGCAATTGTCACATCAGGCTTTTTTTTTTTTTTTTTTTTTTTTTTTTTTTTTTTGAGACAGGGTCTCACTCTGTCACTCAGGCGGGAGTGCAATGGTGCGATCTCGGCTCACTGCAACCTCTGCTTCCTGGGTTCAAGCGATTTTCCCACGACAGCCTCCCGAGTAGCTGGGACTGTAGAGGCATACCACACCTGGCTAATTTTTGTATTTTTTGGTAGAGATGGGGTTTTACCATGTTGGTCAGGCTGGTCTCAAACTCCTCACCTCAAGTGATCTGCCCACCTTGACCTGATGCTAGGATTACAGGCGTGAGCCACCGCACCTGGCCAGGCTTCACTTCTAATTCTAGTTCTTTTGTTATTTCCACCACATCTGCAGTTCCTTCCCCCGACCTGAACTCACCTGCTGCATTATTAGCCCCTAACAAGTTGCCTGTCCTTTAAAACTTTGAAGCCAGGCATTGACTTCTCTCTAGCTCTGAAAGTCCTAGATGGCATCCTCTTCCAAAAGAAGGCTGTTTCATCTACACTGAAATCTGTGTAGTGTAGCCACCTTCATCAGTGATCTTGGCTAGATCTGGATGATTTGCTGCAGCTTCTGCATGAGCACTTGCTTCTTCACCTTGCACTTTTTTGAAGATAGCTTCTTTCCTCACACTTCATTAACCAATGTCTGCTAGCTTCACAGTTTTCTGCTGTAGCTTCCTTACCTCTCAGCCTGTATAAAAATGAAGACAATTAGGGCTTTGGTCTGGATAAGGCTTTGGCTTAAGGGAATATTGTGACTGGTTTGATCGTCTCTCCAGAAAACTCAAACTTTCTCCATATCAGCAATAAGATTTTCACTTTCTTATGTGTTCACTGGAGTAGCACTTTTAATTCCAAGAACTTTTCCTTTTGCATTCACAACTTGGCTAAGCATTTGGTGCAAGAGGCCTAGCTTTTGGCCTGTGTCAGCTTTTGACATGGCTTCCTCACTAAGCTCTTTCATTTCTAGCTTTTGATTTAAAGCCAGAGACATGCCACTCTTCCTTTCACTTGAGCACTTTAGAGGCCATCAATAGTGTTATTAATTGGCCTAATTTCAATATTGTTGTCTCGGAATAGGGAGACCTGAGGAGAAAGAGAGATGGCAGTCAGTGAGAGGAGCGGTCAGAACACACACTTTTTTTTTTTTTTTTTTTTTTTTTTTTTTTTGAGACGGAGTCTTGCTCTGTCACCAGGCTGCAGTGCAGTGGCACAATCTCAGCTCACTGCAACCTCTGCCTCCTGGGTTCAAGTGATTCTCCTGCCTCAGCCTCCTGAGTAGCTGGGACTACAGGCACGTGCCACCACGCCCAGTTAATTTTTGTATTTTTAGTAGAGAGCGGTTTCACCATGTTGGCCAGGCTGGTCGCAAACTCCTGGCCTCCAGGGATCCGCCCACCTCGGCCTCCCAACGTGCTGGGATTACGGGCGTGAGCCACCACACCCGGCCAGAACACACATTTATCAATTAAGTTCACCATCTTATATGGGTGCAGTTTGTGGCACCCCAAAGCAATTATAAAAGTAACATCAAAGATCACTGATCACAGATCACCATAACAGATAAAGCAATGAAAACATTTGAAATATTGTGAGAATTAGCAAAACCTGACAGAGAGACAGACGCTGCTGAGAAAATGGCACAGATAGATTTGCTTGACCCAGGGTTGCCACAAGCCTTCAATTTGTAAAAAATGCATTATCTGTGAAGCACAATAAAATGAGGTATGCCTGTATAAGGGAGGATATGTATAGATTATATGCAAATACTACACCATTTTATATAAGAAACTTGAGCATCTGCAGATTTTAGTATCTGCAGAGTCTTGGAGCCAATCCATCATGGATACTGAGGGACGAATGTACTGCGTTCATGGATTAGAAGACTCATTATTGTTAACATACGGTTAAATTCTCTCCAATCTGATCTATAGGTTCAATACAACCCCAATCAAAATCTGAATAAGCTTTTTTGTAGATATTGACAAGCTGATTCTAAAATTTATATGGAAAAGTGAAGGAACTAAAATAGTCAATTCTGAAAAGAACAAAGTTGGAGGATTCACATTACTTGATTTCGAGACTTATTTGAAAGGTATAGTAATCAACAGTATAGTATGGGCAAAACGAAAGATACAGTTTAATGGAACAGTAGAGACCCACACAAATAGTCAACTGTGTTTGGACAGAAGTACAAAGGCATTTCAACACAGAAAGGATCATCTTTTCAACAAATAGGGCTAGAAAAAGTGGGTATCCAAACACACCAAAAAATAAACTTTAACATCCTCACGCTTTGTACAAAAATTAACTCAAAATGGATCATAGATCTAAATGTAAAATGTAAAACTATAAAACTTGTAGAAGAAAATATGAAGAAGTACTGCATGATCTTGTGTTTGGAAATGAATTTTCAGATAAAGCATCAAAAGCACAACCCATACAAGTAAAAGCTAAATTGGACTTTATCAAAATTAAAAACTTTTGCTCTGCAAAAGATACTCTTAATGAAGATAAATTACAGACTGAGAGACAATATTTGCAAATCATGTGTTTTATGAGGAACTTGTATCCAGAATAAATCTTGTAATTCTCAAAATAAGAAAATCCAGTTTAAAAGATATGATTTTGTACATCTCAGAAGGTATACTCTGAAAAATATATGAAAAGATGCTCCATGTTATTAAACATTAGAGTAATGCAAATTAATACCACAATGATATCACTACACACCTATTAGAGTGGCTTAAATTAAAAAGTTGACAACACCAAATGCTGCTGAGGATGCAGAGCAACAGTCATTCTCTGCTGCTGGAAATGCAAAAAATAAAGCCCCTTTGGAAAATAGTTTTTTACAGAGTTAAACATACACATACCTTATGACCCAGTAATCACACTCCTAGGTACTTCACCGAATAAACTGAAAACAAAACCTATATATGAATATTTATTCAAAGCTGCTTTATTCATAATCACCAAAACCTTGAAACAACCAGATGCCTAAAACAGAGGAACGGATAAACTGTGATACATCTGTGCAATGGGATACCACTCAGCAATAAGGAAAAATGAACTTCTGATTCACACAACATAGATGAGCTTTAAATGCACTTTCCTATGCGAAGAAGCCAGATCCAAAAGGCTACATATTATATGCTGCCATTCATAAGATTCTGGAATAGGTGAAACTAAAGAATAGATAATAGATCAGTGGTTACCAATGGTTGGGATGAGGAAAGGCATTGACCATGAAGGGGTTACACAAGTAAACTTTGGGTGACAAAACTGTTCTGTATGGCACTGTGATGACAGATCCATGAGTTCACACTTGTCAAAACCCAGACTGTGCACTACAAAGAGTGACCCTGAATGCACATTAAAATAAAATCAGCTAGGATATTTAGGGGATTACAATATGGAATGCAGGTTGGGATGAGTCTAGTTGTATTATAAAATACATGACATAACCCTTTTCAAAGAGGTGGGTAAGAAAGGGACTGACCTAAGTAACTGGAAAATGGTGTTTTGACCAGATACTGTAAGGCTATGGGCAAAAAGAACTGTAAATTTGCAATTCTGAAACTACGTTTATATTAGGATTGAACAAATAAGTAAATATAGATAATGAGAACCAGGTCTATGTCAGAAAAAGCAGTTAAAAGCAAGAGGTGAATGTGAGAATGAATCCTGTGGTGCTGGATTGGTGTCAGAGGTATCAGTACAAAGTCACGTGTATGTTCACCTGTCTAGACTGATAAAGGCAGAAACATCTATAGATACGTACCTACATGGGTTGGTAGACATACACAGATCCCCTAGCTCCATCCACTGACAGGGCTTGTAATTTGCATAGCATCCAAGTATTCCCCCAAATATTAATTACTGTGGTAATTTTAACAGGTGCCCCTGAATTCTTTGATACTCCTCCCCACCACAGTTTACATTCCTTACCCTTTAGTATAGACTGGGCTTAGTGACTCACTTTTTTTTTTTTTTTTTTCCTGAGATGGGAGTCTCGCTCTGTCACCCCGGCTGGAGTGCAGTGACGCGATCTTGGCTCACTGCAAGCTCCGCCTCCCGGGTTCACACCATTCTCCTGCCTCAGCCTCCTGAGTAGCTGGGACTACAGGTGCCCACCACCACATCCGGCTAATTTTTTGTAGTTTTAGTAGAGACGGGGTTTCACCGTGTTAGCCAGGATGGTCTTGATCTCCTGAACTCATGATCCGCCCGCCTCGGCCTTCCAAAGTGCTAGGATTACAGGCGTGAGCCACTGCGCCCAGCCTAGTCACTCACTTTTAACAGACTGAGGAAGGGGACAGGTAGCAGCTTCACAGAGAAGAATGTGGCAAGCGCAGCCTTCACCCGATGATGGGGGTGGTCCATCCTGCTGGTGCCATGCGCCATCTAGCACGATGCGATGGGAAGGCACCTGACCACTGGCATGTTCTTCCTTAAAACCCACAACCTCAGTCTAATGAGAAAACACCAGACAAACCCAAATTATGGGACATTCACAGAATACTTGGCCAGTACTCTTCAAAAGTGTCCAGG